GGGGTTATATACTCAAATTTCCTAGTACTTGTCAAAAGACGAGCAGCAGCATTTTGCACCATTTATAGACGAGTGAGGGAGGACTGGTTAACACATACTGTAGGTATATAGCATTGCAATAGTCAAGTCTAGAAGTGATAAAAGCATGGATTGCAATCTCAAAATCATTAAAAGAAAAGAATAACTTGGCCTTGCTTAACAGCCTCAGGTGGAAGAAGCTAGATTTCACAACTGAGTTGATTTGCTTGTCAAACCTCAAGTCACCATCAAACATCACCCCTAGATTTTTTACAGTTGACTTCAGATGTCGAGCCAGGGGGCCCAGGCCCTGGTTAGAAGCAGTTAGGTTTACCAAGTCACCAAATAGCACACACTCTTATCTTATTTTTGTTGAGATTTAAAAAGTTAAGTGCCAACCATGATTTCAAGTCTGTCAGACAGTCAAACAATGACTGTAATGACATCCCTCTCATTGCCTTCAATGGTTAACCTGTATATCTGAATAAGTAGTCTATATTCTATTCTATCCAAGTAGCTTATATTTTTTATATGAAGACCACAATTTTATATACCCAATTGTTTCTTCATTATAGACTTTCAGTAGACTACTTAAATAGCATCAATAACTATAATATCATAATAAAAATACAAACTACAGGAAATTGATGGCAATTCTAAGGCCTGTACATTAGATACACAAAGCTCCTTTTATTATGAAAGTACATTTGCCGCATATTTCCGGTCCTGCTGTGTCTATTTGTAGGTAGCTTGACTCAGCCGGTGCTGAATTTGAAAAAGCTGCGTCTCCCAGCGTTCCCAGGACATCCAATAGGAACCCAAGTGATAAAACATGAGTTTTTGTAAACTGAGACAGGCGTGTGGATTTTCTCTGTCAGCATTAAAGTCACAGAGAACATCAACAGCAAAGACAGGAAAGAGTTGGTCTGAACACATGACACATAAAGACAAACGAGCACTTTCCAAGGCCACACACACACACACACACACACACACACACACACACTAGTTGTAGGGTGCTGGAGCCATTCACTGCTTTGTGACAGCCCCACTCCTATTAAACACTTTCTCAGTGTCTCACTTATACAGAAAGTGGAGAGAAAGAGACATTACAATAATCATGTATGTACAGTGTGTGAGCATTGTAGCAGTGTTTGCTCATTTCTTTTGGCCCGTTTCCACAGAATGAGTGATGCTTCTAAGCCACATTATTGCTGCACCACTCTGTGATAACCCAAAACCTGGCCACATGAAACCAGCACTAGACACTTAGCTAGAAACCTCTGGACCAGTGAAATAATGTGTCATTTTATAAATTACATCACTATACTAGGTTTACAGTCCATGAATTGATCCATTTTAGTAGCCAGAGAGAGACGGACACCTGTGGATAAAACTTGAGAAATGAGCCCATCTAGTGGATGTACAGTTGTACAATTCATCACCATCTGAAAACTTCCATTTGCAGTATTTTTGTAAAACTGACCCTATTTAGAATATTGAGCTGTAAAACCACAATGAACAGGAGTAAACGCTGATCAATCGATCAGTGTCTTACAGCAGGGTTTCAGTTGGCATTTCTGTTATCAGTGAGTTCTATGTAGGCCTTTTCATCTCGTTTTTTAGTTAGTAGCCTGGTGTGTGAAAAGCTTCCAAGCTGTTAAAGCCACTTTCTGACACTTCCAATGATGATGATGGTGATGATGGTGATGGTGATGATGGTGATCGGATTTCCGTGTACTGGGTGTTTCCCTTCACGCATCGCACGTGGCAACCCCCAGCCTTTGATCCTTTTCAGTTTATTTTAGTTATTTTCTTTGTCTTTTTTATCTTTACATAACCAGCTGTTTGATTTAGACCTTTACTCCACGGAATCCAATTTGAACCTTTTCGCCATTGAACCTGATCCGGTGTTGTCCGGTTTCTAACCACCATCCCCTCACATTTTCCAAATTAAAGCAGCTGTGTGCGTCACGGCAGACAGCAGCGATTAGGTGGAGGAAGAGAAGGAAAGATGTCCGGTATCACGCTGCTGTCCGTGTCTCTGACTTTGTGTTTGCTGTGGGCGACCGGCGGAACGACGCGGAGCGGGGCAGTGACCTCACAGGACGCCCTGGAGCGGGTCCCGTTCAGCCTGAACGACATGTTCCGAGAGGTGGAGGAGTTGATGGAGGATACGCAACACATTCTGGAGGAGGCTGTTGACCAGGTCTGCGTCATATTTTAGTCGACTGGTTCACAGAAAAGCAGTTAAAAGCTTACCCATAGTGGAGAGCGTGACAGAGAGGACACAGATCTACAGCTCTTCTATTATAACTGTGGATCAAATCAGCAGCTGTGTGGGTGATACCATAGTTAACTGTTAACTGTTGTGATTGTCAATTTACCGAGACCCTGCTGACTTCCAGGCTTAGCTATGTGTGGAAATACTAGTATGCTTTCCATACCTGCTTTTTGTCTGACGCCATGTCTGAAAACTATTAATAATCCTCGTCATAACAGTAGTTGCGCAAAAAAGGGATATTGTCCAGTCAGTTCAATAAAAGAAACACAAAATAAGCCTAAATCTGATACTTTGGTACTGAATGAGACTCCTGGGAGGCTGGGAGCGTGTTATTTTTTCCCAGGAGTTGGATTTCAACAGGTTAAAGCTTGCTAATGTTCCAGACAGTGTCTGGGTTTGATCCGGTAATTCCCTTCAAGTCATCCAAGAAATGGAGATGAATATCAATCAGAAGAGAACAACAAATTAGCCATAGTTATAGCCACCTTGCAAATTTACACTTTCTTCCCACATGGAAATGTGATGTACAGCCACTTTCCAAGAAAGTTGGGACGTTGTAATAAAAACTGAATGAAATTATTTGAAATTCTTTAAAAAATAATTAAAGACAGGACAACAACCACATCAAATGTGAAAACTGAAAAAAAATCTGCTAATTGTACTCATTTTAAATTTGTTGCCAGCAAAACACTGCATAAAAGGAGGGCCAGGGCCGTGTTTACCACTGAGCTGCATCAGCTCTTCCAACAACACTAAGTGTTTGGAAACCGAGGAGATCAACTGCTTTAGTTCTGAAGGTGAAATATTTTCCCATTTCTGCTTGATGTAGGATTTCGGCTGCTCAACAGTTCAGGGTCATGTGTTCAGTGGGTGACAGATCTGGACCAGTTTAGCCCCCAGACCTTTATTATGGAACTGTGCTGTTGTAATTTGTGCAGTATTGGGTTTGTCATTGTCTTGAAATAAACAATGCCATTACTGAAAAAATGGCCCTCTGGATGGCAGCATATATGTTGCACCAAAACCTATATATAGTATAACATTAAATGGCACCTTCACAGATGTGTAAGTTAGTTTTGCACTAATGCATACCATGACATCAAGGATAGATGGTCTCTCTCCTATTTAGCCTGGAGGACCCAATGTCTATGATTCCCAAAAATTATTTAAAATTGTCAGACCACAGAACAGGTTTCCACTTTGTCTCTGTCCATCTTAAATGAGTTTGAGACTAGAGAAGGTGATTGTGTTTCTAGGTCTTTTTACCTCTGCCAAGTGAAGGAGTTACGTTTTTGCTGGCACTTGTTTGTTTGTTAACAGCATAACTCAAAAAATAATGAACTGGTTTTGAAGAGGTTTTTTTTTTGAGAGGCAGGGTATGGGCCACGGAACAATTGATTAGACTTTGGAGCTGATCTATATCATGATTTGGATACAGAAATATTTTAAAAGATTATTCACCATTGTGAGTGCTGGAAAGGCTGTTGACTGTATGTGAGCCCCCTTGTGGCCAAAGTGCACGGCTGCGCTGCTGAGCACAAATTCCTAGGTTAATATCAGCTGCCCATTCGTTGTCAAAGGAAACCAAGTGCTGTCACTCAGTACATCCTGCTGTGCGAGGCAGCAACTAAAGAAGCCCAGCGAGGTGACAGCCCACAGCTGGGTAAAGATCTACTCTATGCAGTGACAGTAGAGAGAGAGTGTGATGGCAGAGATTTTAAACCAGGCTCAAAGTTGTTGTCATTTTCATCTGTAGGACTGGTATTATGCCATTTTGGCTTTTTTTTTTTCAGGTGAGAGTGACCACTAAGATTGAGGATATGTGGTCAGTCTATTCAAGTAATGTCAGTTTAGAAATTGTTCTGTTTTCGTAGATGTGAGTGCTCATTACCTGACCAAGCTAGCTTTATTAACAGGCAGCTACATCTGGTTTAGAGCACAGTAGTCTTTTGGCGAGGACGCCAGTGGTCCAACTGTACGTTTATAGCTCCACTTCCACTGCCAGAACCTAACGAGCAGTACACCCCATGCTTCCCTTAATTGTCACCCAGCAGAACCTCATGCGTTGATGCAGCTTATTATACTTTGTTTTTCCACAGTATTTTGTGCTGTGTCTGTCTCTGTTTAGAGGAGGGAGGGTGGGGGGGGGGGGCCGCTCTCCCCTCCTCTCTCTCTCTCTCTCTCTCTCTCTCTCTCTCACACACACACACACTAAGCAGAGGACATGAAGGATCTCTAGACAATGCAACAATCAGTCAGCCATGGAGAGCAGTTTATCAAACAGCTGTTGAACAAGCAGAACCCAAACCCACAGAAATGTGACTACTTTGCCCACGGTCCACTCACCGAAGTTCCCGTTTTACCCCTAAACCAATGTGAATGTCTGTCATATCTATCATTTTTTTGAATAACTTTCAAACTAATAATGGTATCAGCATCATTCCAAATGCCAGCAGCAGGTTCTCATGGTCAAGCAAGCACAGCAAGGAGCTGTCCAGGGAAATAAAAGAGGAAAATTTGTTTTAAATAGACTGTAACCTTAAAATATACTTGATTTGAACTTGAATTAAGTTAGTGGGACAGCTGAAGCTGCATTTAAGCCTCAGACAAACTTTGGCGCACAAGTTTATATAGAACAAAAGTTGTGTAGTTTGTCCCTTATTTTGTGTGATGTAGACACATTCTGGTGGAAACATTCAGGGTCGAGAGTAGGAGATGTGACAACAACTACGACTTGTTCTCACGTACTGTACATAAGGATGCATCAGTGTTGTTTTAACATCAACAAACTATTCCTTTAATGAAATCATGTACCATAGATGATGACAACCCCCAAATTGTTGTAATTTAAAACTGATAAAATCCTTCTTAAATTGTTGAACTATTTGCCACTGAGAGTGGTGAAACTTACCCCATCCTTACTTCTGAAAGACTCAGCCTTTCTGGGATGCACTTTTTCCATGCCTCTGTGCTAGCAATAGCCGCTGCCAGAGGTATTATGTTTTTGGGTTGTCAGTCCCTGCGTCCCATTTTTGTGACTGCTATACCTCAGTAACTCCTAGATTTTGGTGGTCAAAGGTCAAGGTCAGTGACATCATGTCTGTCCCATTCCCATAAATTTGAATGGTTGGTGGAGGAATACAACCACAAAGTACTAATTCTAGTTTTACCCAATCATCATACTGACCTGTTACCTTAACTGTGAGGTTTCCACCATGTGATCTTTTTTTTTTTAAGCATTAACCAACTTTTCCAATCTTTTGTTCCCCTTGTCCCAACATTTTTGAAATGTGTTGCTAGCCTCAAATTCAGAATAAGATTATCTAAATCAAAATATATAAATTTTAACATTAGATATCTTTGTACTGTTGTCAAATGAATATTGGTAAAAGCGGTTTTCAAAACATTTCTTTTTTTTTCTTTCTTTTTTTTGCCTTTTTTAACAATTTTCGGTGTCGACCTTTTTGGAATTGGGGCTGTATGAACAGAATGGATATCGCATGTGTTGTATTTTGTATAATGTTTATGAATGGATCCTACATGTCTCCTAATTTTCAATCCAACAGATAACTACTGAAAGTGCTAAATCCTCTTTAATATCAATGGATCTGCGTCCTGACTACCATCACCAGACTCAGAAGGTGGTAAAGAATGGAGACGGAGTCGTCCAGGTCCTAGATAGGACTGACAAGGTAGGGGTTAACTTCTGACCTTATGGTAAAGTATGTAACTCTCAGACAAAGCCCTTTTGTCCCTAAAAAGATCATTTTTGATAGATGGAGCTTGGTTTACAAAGTCACGCCTTCTACATTTTTGAGTGGACTTAGTCATGAGCTAAACACAGACACCAAACAACAGTATAATTTTCCTATTATTTTGACTAAGTCTGATGTATGTCTCCCATTTTGCCTTTTATAGGAAACAAACAACAACACAGGAGAGACTCATCTTTTACACACCCATATGGAGATCACTGGTCAGTGGAACAGTGTGGATCATGTAAGAAATCTACCTTCCCTATGCAGAATAATGAATAAATAAATAGAGGGCAATGAGATCAATGCCTTCTGTCTCATAAGCCTCCTGGTAATTTGGCTTTATTACATCCTGATGCTGACATGATTAGTAGGACACAAAGTGTATTACTGATTGAAGTGTGGTTCTCAGGAGACTTTGTTGTGCTAACAGCCTGTTGACTCAGGATTCTGGAAACCTGTATCTGGTTTCCAGAAACAGGAAATCCAGCTGTCCAGTTTCAGACCACATGCTTCTCTTTAAGTGGTGCTGATACAAACTTAAAGGCAGCCTTGATCATGTTTTATCACATTCCAGCAAGCATCAGTCATGTATTATTTTTAACTCCAAATATTTTCAGTTTAATCAGAACACCTAATGAAATCTACGTTAACATTTGCCTCAGTTTTGTAAAAGGAGGCGGAGAGGTAGTGCTTTCTGAAACTCGGTTTTATACAGAATGAGATCATCCAGCAAACGGATCTACCAGATTTTTCACAGACGGTCTGCTTAGACTGAGGTCATTAATGCTGCCTGTTTTGACATTTTACTTTACAACGGTGGTTTTGGTCCTTTTCTTTCCTGGCGGTTGTACAAAAAGTGGTTGTGTTAACAGAGCTTGCTGCTGGAAAAAACGCCAGGGAACAAAGTAAGCCTACAAGGCAGTCAGGGAGTGGCCTGCTCTTCTAAAACGACTAACTGTGCTGAAATTTAGCCCTCTACGTTTAGTCACACTTAATGAAGTCACAGTGAAATTGACTGGCTGACTTAGTCGTAGCAATTACCCACTATATATATATGTGTGTGTGTACAGCTAACGTACTGCACAGAATACATGTATTTCTCAGACAGCCCCCTTCAGAGCTACAAAGACCTCATGCAAACAATTTCATAGGTTGACTACATGCTCTCCCTGACAACCAAACTCATCTTGATATAGGCTATATACATAAAGCTAATTTCAATATAAGAACAAGTTAAGAACAGGGCAAGTTAACCTTTTTAAATTTACCCCTGTTTTTGTGCACAAGCCCCAAAAAGACATACCCAAAATAAAATGGTTGTTATTCTGGAATGGTAAGTGTTACACTAATGACCATGGTGTCACTGTAAAGGTAACATCCTCCAGTCAGTGACCTGGGACTTGAAACGTAGACCTTATGGTGGACTAAGCTGTTACTTGGTAAAAATGTGAAATTATGTACGTTTAGTACAACAAAACACTGTTTGTAATACAAATCAACAAAACTAGATGAACTACTCATAAACATTTTATACAATATTAGCAAAATTGAAAAACACCCCAAACAGAAATATAAGACTGCAACATAATGCCATTTGGTTAGAATTTATTCTGGTGGTGATAATATAATGAACTATACAACACCATAGTTTGTGAAACAACTAAAACAAAGCAGCAACAACAAAACTAAATGAACTACAAAAATATTTCTTTGTCAAAATGTGCAAAAATGAAGACAAAAACTCACTACCACTAACACTGTAGTATAGTTTGTCTAAAAATAGTAGCCCAGCAGATGATTACATTTACAATATTCCAAAAATGAGAAAAACTCATGTGCTAGTTGCAGAGACTGCACTTACAGGGTGTCATCTATACTGAATAACTGTTCTACTGTTATTGCCTGTAGATTTTACAGTCCAGCTTCACTGTGCCACTCACTGAAACAGTCTCTTGTTGGTTGAAAGCACAGGGGCACTTGTACCTAGTTCTGTGTGACATTGGGCCTGATGTGGATGGTCTTGGAGCTGAAGTAAATGGTCCCACAGCTGATGTGGATGCTCCTGTACTTGGCAACCCAGTGTCTGGTGGCTGTAACAACATGTTCTTTCTGAAAGCTTTCTGTATGAAGAGTTTCTAGTTCTTTTTTTTGGCCATGTGTTGCTGCAGAATGAAAGCGTTTACCACAGCAGTGTCAATGAAATGGTAAAAGAAGATCTTGTACCATGTCCTTGTTTTGTGGATGATGTTATATGTTGTGAGAGCATCTGAGATGTCCACTCCCCCCACGCACCTGAAGGACAGAAAGGGACAAAAAAAAAATAACTAATTGAAAAAAATGAAATGTGCCTGATATCAAATACCCAGTACAATAAAGAGAAACATGGTAACAAATCAAAGTGAACTTGCATATATAAATATACAATACATACTTGTTGTATTCCTTCACAGGAGCTGGTGTTGGGAGGTTTGCTGTTGTCTCCCTTGATTTGTCTCTAAACGGTGTCTCCGTCAAAGGTTCTGTGCATTGTGGAGCATATGATCACTTCTTGTTTCCATCCATTTTACATAAATCAGGCCATTTTCCCAGATCCA